CAATGAGATGGGCCCTCCAGACTTGCTGGAAGTAGGGGCCCACCAGACTTGCTGGAGGGTGTTACGTAGGATTGAACGCCCTACTCACATATCTTTAGTTCACCAAACACCACAAATAGTCATGGATCTCCCTAAGGTAAAACGCTCATTATCCGGAAGTAAACTAGTCCCCCGTTCGGGTCTCCGGGTGGGGACTGCTTTAGGGGATTCATGGCGCAAGTTGAAATATAGGGATTTAAATATTGGTACGTAGAACGTAAGGAGTTTAAACACAGCAGAGGGGCTAAAATCAGTCGCGAATGAGGTGAATGGGTACAATTTGGATGTCGTGGCTCTGCAAGAGGTTCGCTGGCCAGGGGAGGGCTCGATGAGGGAAGGAAAGTACACTATTTGGTACGGAGAAGCGGGAATCATTGTTTGGGTACCGGGTTTTTAATTAGGAGTAGATTACTATCCGCTTTGAGGGACGTACAATTCTTTAGTGATAGAATTTCGGTAGCTACATTTCACGGACGTTGGTTTAAAATCGCATTAATAAATATACATTGTCCGACCGAAGACAGTGACGATGAAGTCAAAAGTGAATTTTACGATAAACTCGAATGGGTTTATGATAAACTACCGCGAAACTACATGAAAATAATTATAGGTGACGCGAACGCAAAGGTAGGAAGGGAAGAAGTTTATATTCCGACGATTGGTAAAGAAAGTTTGCACGAATATAGTAATGATAATGGGATCCGTCTGATAAACTTTGCCATCTCGAAAAACCTGTTAATTAAAAGTACGACGTTTAAACATAAGGATATTCATAAATATACTTGGACATCACCGGATTCGCAAACACGAAATCAAATCGATCATGTCTTGATACAACATAGCTGGAAAAGCAGTATAATTAATGTACGGTCTTATCGCGGAGCAGAATGTGGGTCGGATCATGAATTAGTAATCGCGAAACTTCGACAAAAACTTAATATAAAAAAGAGAAAAGAAAACCGTTTTGATTTTGAGAATTTAAATTTGGAAAAATTAAAAAATCCATCAATTAGAACACAATTCGAGCTAGATGTTAAGAATAGGTTTGAAGCTTTAGAGCTTCCTGAAGAGGACCACGAGGATATTGACAAGTTATGGGTAGAGATCAGGGATAATATTAAAGTGGTCGGTAACTCGTGTCTAGGAAAAAAGGAAAATAAGAATAACAAACCATGGTTTGATGAAGATTGCTTAAACATGTGCGGAAAAAGAAAAGCTGCGAAATTGAAAGCTCTAAATAATCCTAGCAGAGACAATCTGGATTACTTCCGAACCTCAAAGAACGAAACGACAAAGTTGCTCAAAAATAAAAAAAGGGAGTATCTTAAAAATAAAATAATTGAAATAGAAACTAATAGAATCGAAAATAACGTAAGGGACATGTACAAAGGTATAAACAGATCATGTAAATGTGTAGGGCCCGTAACGTCTGGAATTAGGGATGATAATAACAATATTCTGACCGATCCGGTTGACATACTGAATACATTTAAGGACCACTTTGACAATATTTTAAATACGTGAAATTATGATCCGTGTCCTCCTTCTGAGTACCAGAGTGCTGAACCGTGGATAGAAGGACCGAGTAAAGAGGAAGTTGAATTAGCTATCGGAAAATTAAAATCTTATAAAGCAGCAGGAACCGATAATATTCCTACCGAACTAATTAAGGCATGCGGGGAAGCTGGAGTTTCTAAAATACATCAGTTGGTTAAAAAGATCTGGGTGAATGAGAAATTACCTAAGGAATGGAAAGAATCTATCTTATTCCGATTCACAAAAAGGGCCTGAGGACGGATTGTAATAACTATCGAGGAATTTCACTCCTTCCGGTATGTTATAAAATATTTACTTTACTCTTAACCAGTCGAATCACGGAATACGCCGAGGAAATTATCGGAGACTACCAATGCGGTTTTAGACGGAATCGTTCGACTATTGATCAAATATTTTCTTTACGGCAAATATTAGGGAAAAAATTGGAGTACAACGGTACTGTTCACCAGCTGTATATAGATTTTAAAAAGGCATACGATTCTATTGACCGCCAGAAACTGTATAATATTCTAATCGAGCAGGGGATTCCAAAAAAACTAGTAAATCCAGTCAGGATGTGCTTGACGGAGACGCTCAATAAAGTTAGAATCGGTAATAACCTGTCCGAAAAATTTGAGGTTCGGTCGGGTTTAAAACAAGGAGATTCCCTTTCGCCTGTCCTGTTCAATTTGGCATTAGAACATGCCATTAGGGAGGTAATGCGTACCTAGAAAGGGTTGGATCTGGGAGGGACAACATCCGTGCTGGGCTATGCTGATGATCTGGTACTGTTAAGCGAAGACGTTGAAACTATAAAACTAAATATGACAACGTTGATGAAAGCCGGTAAAGAACTAGGACTCGAAATAAACGTGGATAAAACAAAATATATGGTTAGCTGCAAAAATGGCGATACTACTGGTGATATCGATATAGATGGTAATATGTTTGAACAGGTAGATAAATCTAGGTTCTACGATAACTAGAAAAAACGAAATTGAAGAAGAGATTAAGGTTAGACTGAAGGCGGGGAATGCTTGTTATTTTTCTGTGTCAAAACTACTTAGTTCGCGCCTCTTGTCCCGAAACTTAAAAATTAGAATCTATAAAACAATTATCTTGCCTACAGTTCTTTATGGATGCGAAACTTGGCCGCTTACATTAAGGGATGGGCAGCGTCTTAAGGTTTTTGAAAATAAAATATTGCGTAGAATATTCGGACCGAAGAAGGATGAGTTAACCGGAGAGTTCAGACGGTTACACAACGCCGAATTGCGTGAGCTGTATCCGGGTAATATAATTGAGGTAATTTCATGGCAGCGAATCAAATGGGCTTGTAAAGTTGTTGGACTTAGTAACGAGAGAATTCCTAAAAGGTTAATATTTGCTGTGCTGAATGGTAAGCATCCGAGGGGCACACCGAAGCGAAGGTGGGAAGATTGCATTAAAGCCGATCTGAAGGGACTGGGTCTGGACGGCGAACGGTGGAGGGAGGTGTGTAATAAGCGATTGGTGGTGTCGGCATCGAACCTTTGGGTTCGCTAATAAGCCTTTTTATTTATTTATTTATTTACATTTTTTTAAATTGTGTACTGCACACTGGATTCATTACGTATATTGTGTGTCATTGTTAAAGCTTTTTTAAGTTGTAATATAATTTTCACATTTATGAAAATGAGGACATTTAAGGAAAGTTTAAGAATTGTCCTCTATTGTTATATAATAAAAATTATATCATGATAATAAAAGTTTGCAATTTAACTCCTTTTTTTTTTTGTATATTTACTGAATCTTTGAGGTTCATTAAAGTGTGTGTACTTTCCCGGAAATGAGTCATATTATACCTTTTTTAAAAATATATATACTGAATCTGAATTGTATATAATGAATAGTTACCATACTGTTTAGTAAAAATCTTATATTACTATTGAAAAAATTAATTTCATTCTTAAATTTTTTTTTATATTCCTTAATTTTTTTTTGTTCAGAGATGGGGTCATATCATAAAACAATAGAAAATTTTAATTATAAATGCTTTATTCTCTTTGCACAATGAAATGTGGAAAGAGTGAAGCTAAATGTTCTTCGAGGTAACCGAAAACAATTGTTAGTACTTGGTCTCATAATGGAGGAAAACGTGAAAGTGGACCCAAACATTGGAAAAATATATTAACAGAATGGGAAAGAACAACCAAAATCCCTGAAAAGAAAACATGAATCATTATCCATTATTTGACTGAACAAATACGTAATAGACAGATTAAGATAGTATTCCAAAGAGCTGCTAGAAGGGAGAGAGAATCTATTGCTTAAGCAATTCGGATGAGATTAAGGGAGTAATGAAAGTTTATTCTGGTGTAGACGATTTTATTTTCGATTGCTTCTCAAGTTGCACATTGGGACTTTCTTCACTTTGAAGCAGGTTTTAGAGAAGTCCATTGAGAAAGGGAAATAGCTCGCCATCTGTTTAGTGAATCTGGAAAAGATCTTTGAAAGAATCAGAAAGGAGAACATAGAACGAGTTCTTCTGAAAGGTAATTAGATGGGAGGCAGGGTGGCTGAATGGGCTAACACATGTGTACAGCACCGCGAGTTCTCCGGCAACCAGATAACCAAGATTTGAGATTGAAGAAAAGAAAAGTGTCCCGGTGCCAGAGGAGATTTTAAATTCCCCACCCTCACCTTCCGGCCCGGGAAAATCCTGTATAGCCTAAAAGGCGAGGTAGGGAAAAAGAGAAAAAAAAAAATGTAACAACAATTCTAGGTGTGAGGCACTAAGCAGATAGAGAGCTCCCCCGCTATTTCCCTTTCTCGATGGACATCTCTATAACCTACATTATTGTGAAGATAGTTCTAATGTGTAACTTCAGTTTGTGAATCCATACCGCTGTGGCAAGGAGCTGCTAGAAGAGGGTCTAATTTCATTTAATTTCCTTGGGAACATGTGATTTCCATTTAATTATATTAGTTTTCAGAAATCATTATTTATAATTCCTTCATTATACTCCATTACCTTCTACGTCTTTGTATGTTAGATATTCTTTTTTCTATAATTCTCATTTTTCCCACGATATATTATACGTATACCTTATGTTTATTATTTCCGGAAATTGATTTTCAACTTGAATAAACATTTTTCCTTTTTTCTCCTGTAGTCAATTATCAAATTCTTTCATAATTTATATTTACGTTTTGTTTTTTTTATTACTGCTAACATTGAGAGATAGTTCATTATCAAAATTAACCAAATTAAAGATAATTTAGAGGAGAAAATAATAATTCCCGAACTAAGCGGAGAAACAAAAAGTATGTAAACAAAAAAGTAAACATTTTGAATCATAAATTCACATTTTCAACATGAAATCCACAGGTTTGGAGTAACTAATTTTCATTTTATGTTTTTTTTTAATGACTTTCATTTACAGATGTGCGGCATTCAGATTGGTATAGAAGTGTTTGCAAAACATTCCTTTAATGACAGATTTTACAAAGGTGTTGTCACAGCAATATATATTGAACAGTTTTTTACTCTTCTGTTTGAAGATCACTCATTCATGGATGTTAATAGAAATTCAGTAGTTGTAAGTATATATTTTTAATTACAAAACTATTTCATTTTAAAAAATATCAATCCATCTGTTATAAATTAATTTACTTCCTGGTTTTCATTTTATCCAATATAAAATCACAATATTCATCGTCCATTATTTATTTTTTTATCAAAAAGCAGGATTAAAGGTATGGATATATATTTATTGATAACATCTTCATTACCCAAACACCTTTATGACACTTGCATCTAGGGTGACTGGAATTTATTACCATCCAGGCTCTTAGTAGGTTAATTAGTTCAAAATTTTGAAATCATGAACCATACATCACATTCTAATCGGGAGAAATGTATATAATAGGACATCATGCTACAAACTTGCTTTTGGTATGCAGTTTCTGCTAAAACTAAAGCTTCTAGATTTTTAATTATTAATTATTAGTCCTTTCGGGTTCGCTGTGGTTCAGAATTTTCCGACTCCTACCCAGTTGAAGCCGGTACGAATCCAAATGCAGACACATTACCTTCACACTCTGCCGCAGATCCTGTCCATCAGTCCACTTTAATTCCATCCAGCTTCCTTTTTCAGACACAGTCCGGTATCTTGGCTTTATCTTAGACCGAAGACTAACGTGGAACCCACATACTAGACTTAAAAGACAAGAACTTAACCGACGATACGGCCAATTATACAGACTACTGACCAGAAAATCTAAACTTTCAATTGACAACAAATTACTGATCTACAAGACAATCCTGAAACCCATTTGGACCTACGGACTTGAACTTTGGGGGACAGCAAAGTTCTCTAACATCAAACGCATTCAATCCTTTCAATCCAAAGTCCTCCGAACAATAGTCGGTGCTCCGTTCTATGTAACCAACAAAACCCTACATCATGACCTTAACATCCCATTTGTCCTTGACCTTATCCCTGAAAAATTTTCAAAATTCCATCAGAACCTTATCAATCATCCAAATCCCCTAGCCCAATCCCTATCTAGTTCCACTCATACCTACAACCCTCCTCGAAGGTTGAAATGGCAGTGGCCCAGAGATCTTTTATAGTATTTATTTTGGAGTTCTGGCAATGGCCAGATTCTCCACTCAAGACACGAGTGTATGTGGCTAAAGCGCTCTCGCTCAAACTCCACCGGCTTTAGCACCGGTGAGGAGGTTGAGAGACTAGGGCAGGGATTTGGGTTCCCTGCCTGATTGTATATATTGTATATAGGTATGATTGTATTTTTATGTTTTTAATTTACTTATATTTAAGTTATTTTATTTTTTTATTGTATATAGTTTTTATTTATTATTATTTAGTTATTGTTTTACTTTGTTGATTTTTTTTTTTTTTTTTTTTTTTGTATATACGGTGTGAATGTGTTCATTTATCAATATAATTATTGTCCCTGTGACAGAATATTGTATATCTAAATAAATAAATAAAAAAAATTAGTATTTGCATTGATTAATCATAAGTCATGTCAGACCTCTTAAGGGCTCCATATCTTTCAGCCGATACCTTTATATAATTATACCTTTAATTATAACATGCTTAAGATGAAGAAGCTATTTTGTCAAAAATATCTGAATACTTTTAATAGCCACTTTTAAACGTCCTTTATCGTATCGTAGATGATGTCAATAACTGGTTGTACATTTGATCCTTAGAAAGTTTTAAGGAATAGGCTGGTAAAATAAGACCCTGTGGGGATCTTAGGAGGAAGTAAAGCAGATCATTTTAATAGGTTTGTTTTACATTCCAAAATAGTATGCTAGTTAAGCATGATCTGGTGTCCAAAGGTTCTTACATCATGTAAAAACACATACTTTTTGGACTTTTTTCAGTTATTGATTTAATAACTCCAAACTGGTTCTTTCTGGGAAAAATTTATTTATTTTAAGAATTAAAGAACATTTTAAATAAGTATCTGACATAAATTTGGTTCTGGAACATGGTCGAAATCGACATTAAAAAAAAATGACAATTTTTTGCCCAGATATTCAATATAGTGATTTACAAATGTATAAACAATGAAAATGGCTTTCATAATTTAAAAATCTTTCAATTAACAGAAGTAAAGCATCAAATTTTGTGTTTGGAGAGTTCCTTATATTTTGAATTCAAATAATCCTGCGATTCACTAACATCAAGTTAGTTTTAGTCCAAGAGCCTGTGCAAAAAAATTGACATTTTGATAAAACTTTTGAAAGCGCTTATATTAAAAAATTAATCTACCAGTCAAACCATGCTATCTGATAGTGCTATGCTATGCTCTAATAAAGTGTGTACCCTTAATTAAAGAATTGATTATGGGAGAAAACCTGGTGGTTGAGCGTGATTCTGGCCTGATCCCCTTCCTGCACAATTGTAAGCCTTGAATAGTACTGAATCCAAGACCCTTCATGGGTTGTAGTGGTACAGGTTTTTTTTTTTTTATTATGTAATAATTGTATTTATATTTATCAAAATAAAGCTGATTTGTTATTGTTTTTGAGACATACAAATTTTGTTATTTATTTATTTTAAAAAATCTAAGGGGGAGTCTAAACTTTTGACCGGTAGGTAGCGTAAGTTTGTGGTTATTGTTGAAAATTAAGTGTATGATAGGAAAAGTGAAAGAAAAGGATGTTTTAATTTTATTAGATAGTTTAGGGATGTATGGAATTGATCTGTATTGTACAAGTGCAGTATAGGTTTGTCATTCTTGTCCACCCTTTTCAAACTGTTGCTGTTATGATGACCCACATGTTTGGATCAAAACATTGGCAAACTCAACAAAGAAATTTTTGACTGCACTTCCTGAAAAATGTATAGCTTGAAAAATATTAGCCTGTAACAAATAAAATTGTTAATTTTTAACTATTGAAAAAAATAATAACTAAAAGGGTAGTTGCAATCTAAAAATCTGTAAAAGCTACTATTGAAGATCAATCTATTGCTACAGCAAACTTCAATTAATTTGACTACATGTGATAAAGCTAAATCATTTTGTGTTCTCTTTTTTGATATTCTGGTCATTTTTAACACAATAATCAATTCAAATCGATCATTTGTTGTCTATAGAGTTCAGTATTAACGGTTTTGCTAGGTTTTAGCTTATACCTATGTTTTACATTCTTTTCTCATCTCAAAATTGCCTCTTTTGTTTTTTTTTAAATGACTGCAATCTTCGTTGTGCATGCTGACCACTTTAAGCTTTGACAACAATTTCATGTGATTCTGCAGCAGATGTTTAACTTAACTTTGTAATAACAGAAAAGTAATGCTGTTCACAAATCGTTGAAATTCAATGTATTCAACACTATTAAACCTGTGCTGTTGTATGTAACCTATATTGTTATGAGTTGGAAATCTGTTGCAGCTGTAAAAAAAAAAAAAAAAAAAAAAAAAAATGATCTGATAATAATTTTTCACTTTAACTTCATTAAAAACTAGAGCCATCTTTAAATAAATTGTGGTTTGATATGTACACATCTGGTAAACAACTGTTCTAAATTAAAAACTTTTAGAATTAAAGGTTGTTAAATATTAATTTTTCAGTGAATGGGTACCCAATATTACAAGTTTAGACCTGGATAATGGTCAAAATATTTCAATTTTTATTTGAATGGATAACTGACTTTTCTTCTATAGCAGAATTTTCTTTGGCAGCTGTCTTTGTTCTTAGACCTTTTGCCCAGTAATGTCTCAAAAGACTGCGAATCTTGATTTTCTGTTTGACATTGCACATGTGTTTTAAAAATGTAAATGACTTCATAAAGCCAACTCAAGTCACTTAGAATTAAAGAATTAGTCAAAGTAAACATTAACAGTAACAGATGGAACAAAAACATTCTTATAGTATGAATAATTGAGAGTTGAGATTAAAAGTTGTGTTCATGCACGACTTTTGTACCAATCTATACTGGTGGTCATAAAAATCTGCTCACTTGTCGTAATTTCTTTCCCAACAGAAAAAAAAATGTTTTACCTTAATATAGTGTGGCATATTCTGTTTGTAGGAAACCACAAATAATGAGGAAAACACAAAAATTCATTTTTTAAAAAATTGGTAATGTAAATTAAAGCAAATGAACACTTTTAAACAAAAATGAATAGCTTTTAATTATGAAATCGGAGTCTCCAGTACCTAGTGTTGCCTTCCCTTGTTGTTTTTTTTTTTTATTGGAAAACCCTCTACCCACCATTTTTGACATACGGGGAGGTTGTCCTAGAGGTGCAACCAAACCTATTCTAACCAGAGTGCCTCCCCTTGTTTGAATATTAATGGACTGTCCGTGCAGGCAGCGTATTCATGAAAGAAGTGTGGGTGAGTTGCTTTGTGCGCAGGTTGAATTCAACAAGCCTTCTCCATACTATGTGCCTGCTGACATCCGCACCCTGAGCAATATGCATCAATAAGAAGTTTCAACTGAATTCCGGAAGAGGTTTCTGATGGTCTGCCTATCAATGAAACGATTATCAGTTGGACCTGTCACTCTTAGACAGCCTAATCACGGCCTTTTAGCGTAACTTCCTATCTCCCAGTACCTCTGTACTGCCCAAACCATTATTTCAGGCAGCGTGTGGACTCAGGGCACGTATCACTGGCTTCGGTCATTCTCAACCAATGCAGTAATCTGAGCGACTGCCACGTTATCCAAAACCATTTTAATGGCCTTAATAAATTGTTACAGATTAGCTATACGGTTTAAGATTTAGCAGTGTTAAAAATGAACTTTGAAAACTTTGTAATAGCCAAATGTTGCCAGAAAATAATGTCTATTCAAAGAAGAGCAGTGCACCAGATTTTTATTTTTTTGTTTTATTTTTTTGTAAATAATTTAATTATTTTTATAAGTTTTCTTTCACTTTCTAATTTTTCTAATGTTATCTTGTCTTTGTTTAATCTTGATAAAGGCATGAAATTAAAACAGAAAAAAAAAAAGGTTTTAGTTGGTTGTTATTTTTTGAAATTATTATTCATTAAAAGAATTCATCTCATTTATTCTTAACTTTAGTTATTTTATGAATACTTCGTATTTATACTGTTCATGTATATATTTGTTTTTATTTTTTCTTGGTATACTATTATGTTTATATTACTATTACTATTATTTTGTATACTCTATTCATCTTTTTATCTTGACTACTTTGTGTACTTCTGTCTATATCTTATTTTTTAAAGTAATTTTTAGTTTTTAGCCCTGATGATGACTCACATACATGTGTTAAAATGTCGCCAAGCAGAATAAAACAAATCTATACTGTGATTCCTAATTATTTATCTTCGTCATAATTTTTAAACTTCTATTTTTAGTGATGAAAATCATATTTAATAATATCTTTCTTAATTTGTGTTCCTCTTAATATTTTAGAATTGCACGGCTGGAATTCCTGAACCTGGTTCAGCAGTTAAATGTCGTTTGAAGGGTGTTCTTTATGACACTACATATTTGCGTTCTAAATCAAAGATTATGTATAATGTAAGTGTTTTTATGAACATATATTTTTTCTTAATATTCTTTTGGCTTCTTGAATTGTTGGTATGTTTTTGTTTACCATTTATTTTTATGTTTTTTTAGATTGATTTTGAAAGCATGCCACAAATCAGTGTCACGAGTGATGATATTGTCTGTTTAGAACAAAAAAATTTATTTGAGCTGGAATCACGAACTAAGTGAGTATTTTTACTTTCACTTGCCTATATATGTAACATATAGTAAGGGTAAGGATTGCGATCGTAAAATTTTTTTAATCTGAGTTTTCAATGGAAATTGAAGGTCCCACAAAACAATCTGTGTGTGTGTATGTATATGAACAGCCAAGCTCAAAAACAAAAAGCCATACGAAACTGAAGTTGTGTATTTAAGATTTGTATATGCCTGGGACGTTACAGCAACTTTTTCGTAAAAATCGGCAAACTGGAAGTGGTTCATTATATCATCAATTTAACACACTTTTTTTTTTATTATCAAACTCACTAGGTCAGTATTATTAAGTAGTTTTTAATTTGAAGTAGGGTTTATCTTCATCAATGCAACCTGACAGGGCCTAAGTCCCAATTTTTCAAAATCTCTTCCTCTAAAGTACCTTTAATTTTTTTCATTTGAAATAATTAATCATTTCACATTTGAACCTGATATAAAAAATGGTTAAATATAGTGAATAAAAAAAAATTGATTGGTAACTAAAGGGAAAATAAGGGTAGAAAGCTATACAGTATCAGCTATGTAGGAAGCTCGGTCGTTTAGCTTAGAGCGCCTGACCTTTGTCGATCCTCTCCCTTTACAGATATCTCTTACCCCTCTGGACAGGACTTAAATATTCTTAGTTTAACTTTTATATATCTTCTTCTGTAATGGTGAGACGGAGGCATAAGCTGGTCCTTGGACTGCTCAATTTTTTCGCCCCATACGAACTTATCTGCAGCATGTACTGTGTTCATCCTGGATGAGTCATCCCTGCCTGTCTCATGTCTGTGAGGACACCATCCTTTCAGCATGATCTGGGTCTTGTCCCACTTGGCGTGTTTCTGTATGCTTTTAGAGGACAATTGTAGTCTTCCATCCTGCTGATATGTCCAATCCATTTCAGTCTGCAAACTGGTGAAGTTGGAGATACTTAAATCCTGGTATTCACCATTCAACTCCGAATTTTGGTTTAGACGCCAAGTTTCATAATGTTTGACATGTCCCATGGTACCTCTCAGGATCTTCCTCTCGAAACGATCAAGCCTTAGTGTGACTGCCTTGTTGATTGGTTTTGCACGCGGTAAGTCATTATTGGTCTTATTTTATTATTATTTTTTTTCTATACCTTGATCGTCTTGAGGTCTTTCGGCCATGTGACCTCCAGCAGTTCAGTAAATTTCACCTTCTGTCCTGGCTGCTATCGATCTTATAAGACATTTATATAGTCTTATTTTCGTAGTTCGACTCAATAATCTGCTTCTAATAATTTTGGCTAGAGAGAAATGGTCTCTATTGGCTGCAGCTAATCTATATCCTATTTCAGCTTCCTTTTCAATCCTTTCAGTGATTGTATATCCCAGGTATTGCAAACATGGAACAACCTCAAAAGTAAAATCCCCTATTCTAACTTGTTGTGGGGCCACAACATTTTTGTTTTATTTTTATTTACCTTGAGACCCCTATTTTTCACTTATTTTTCTAACTTGCAAAAGGCTTCTTCCACAGCAGCTTGTGATCTCCCAACAATTGCTATGTCATCTGCATATGCTAATATTTATACCATTCTGGAAATATCGTATTGTCATGGTTCATTCCTGTCCTGCTAACGATACTGTGGAGTACTATATTGAATAGTAGTGGTGCCAGTGCATCGCCCTGTATTAGCCCTCTGTACACACCAAATGAGCCATTACTATTACTGCTCATCCGGATTTGGCAAATATTATCCTCCATTGCACATCTAGTTAGTCCTATAAGTTTTCCAGGGATACCCATTTCCTTCATTTGCACTGTAGAGTTTCTCTCTAATCACAGAATTGTAAGCTGCCTCAAAAGTTCACAAAAATTATTCACATAGGGTGTTAGAATTTGTACATTTTTTCACCCGGTTGTTTAAGTGTAAAAATTTGGTCTATTGTTGACATATTCTTACAAAAACCTGCTTGGTAGTCACCAACTGTGCTTTCTTTGTAGGGTATCAACCTCTTATAAAGTGCAATAGAGAAAATTTTGTAGGCAATATTCAGGAGACTGATCTCTCTATAATTGCTGCACTCTGTGGGATCACCTTTCTTCTTTAACACTGGGACGACTATGGATTTCTTCCATTTTTTTGGGTACACGTTCTTAACAGTTAGTAGCACAGTTAGTAAAAAAATCTGGGTACACCACTTCCTTAAATTATTTTACTACTTTAAAGAATAAAACAGCACAACTGTTTGATAAACTATTTCACAAAATTTTATAGTGAATAGCATGAATAATGAGGTTTGCGACAAAAATTTGAAGTTTTACATCTGTAATGCACAAATAATTAATTTGTATAACCCATAAAAGTTTGTGTACACTTGATTTTTATCTTATTATTTTTATAACATAATATTGTTCATTCAAAATTTGCAGAAATTAATGATCAGTAGAGCCTACCTTATTTTTTATCACCTCACCTAGACGGTTATTCATCAATGAAGCCAATTTTTTAGTGATTTCAGGCTCAATTTTCTTCCATTTATACATTAATGCTTCCTTAAAAATTGTTATTTGTTTTTAACCTTTCTTTTTTTTCAGTCATTGCTTTAGTTCATTTCATAGATGTTTGATTGGGTTCAGGTCTGATGATTGGGGTGGAGTTTTTAATTGTCTTAGGGCATGATGGAGTAACCACTCTTTGAATTTCTGCGCTTAATGCTTCTGGTCATTGTTTTGTTGAAATATAAATGATGATCCAATACCAAGATTCATTGTACTTGATTTTAAATTTTCTTTTAATATGTCTATGCACACATATTGGTCCATTATACCGTCAATAATTGCTAATTTCCCCATGCCAGAAGCACTCATACAGCCGTAACCATGATTCCACCTCCATGCTTGACTGTGGGACACAAGTTTTTAGCTGCTAATTCTTGATTGGGTTTCCACGACATCCAAACTTTTTTATCAGAAACGGTAAAATAAGGTAAATTTACATTTGTCGCTGAAAAAAGCTCGTTCCCAGAAATTATTAGGCTTATTTAGAATCTCTTTTGCAAACAATAAACCTTTATTCACATTACTTATAAATGGTTTTTCCTAGAAGATCACGAATTATACTCTGCATTTTTTATAAAGTTTAGCACCGTCTGTGGTGTAGATTTAATGGCATAATCATTTTCAAGCATACCTGCAATGGAAGCAGCACTCGTTTTTGGGCTTCATGAATGTTTTTAATAATTTCTTGTTCATGGATCCTTTGCAATTTTTTTCAGACATTCAGTTCTTGGTCGATTTTAAAAGTTTCCAGTCTCTTCAAACCTGTTGATGATTTTCTAATTGTGGAATAATGTTTGAAAATTATTTTGCCAATTTCTCTCAGTGACTTTCCTTCTTATCTTTAATTAACACCAATTTTCATATTTCAACAGGTTCCTCCACAATGAGAACAAATACTATTAAATTCACTTCCTTGCATGTCAGTAAATAATCAAATACTGAATAACTCATAAATTATAAGACCTTCAGTTAAGGGATTATCATGCTTTGTTTAGTTTTTCTGTTAATAATAGTGTACACAGCATTTTTTGGACCACATTTTGTTGATTATATACTATAGTGTCAAAACTAGGTCCTAAGTAAAATTTGTATTAGTGGAAACTGCTTTAAATACTTATCCTAAATAGATTCTTAACAAATATTTTCATTGTAGAGCACTCATTGGACGAAGAAATATTAAAATAACTTTTGGAAATGTGTGTGCCTAGACTTTTTTTACTAACTGTATGGGCTATCAGCTTACATAGTTCTCTATTCATTTTGTGACCTGCCACTTTCCACAGCTCTGCGATGATGTCCACAATATCCTCTGCCTTTGGGGACATTTCTTCATCTATCTCATCGTCCTGATCATATTCATTCCGATATACATCAGGTGCAGGATTCAGCTGCTCACTGAAGTATCTCTCTTATCTTTCTATTATTTTGTTTGACTTAAGTGTTGTTTTAAAGTTCTTGACTTCACGGAAAAATTTCCTGGTTTCTCCATTCACTCGGGATGATTCTATATTCCTAATTGTTTGATCCATGGCGATCCTCTTCTTTTTCTTACAAATCCTTTTCACATTACACATCATACCATACATTGTGAAACTTGGTCTGATTACTGCTGCAGTGTTCAGCGACTGTTTTTTCTATTATTTGCTGTAGTATCTTCCAATGGTCTTCGATTGAACATCCTCCTTTGATGGCTGGTACCTCCGATATCCTTTCTGCTATATCCTCTTGGAACTTTTTCCTTATGTCGGTCGGATGTATTTAGCTTTTCCGTGACCCATTTCTTTTTCCTACCCCCTGTTTTACTGGGATGTTGGTAATAACTTAGTTTTTCATAATGATGTAGAGATGGTTGACCGTTAATATAATATGAGAAGGAGTTAGTCGAGGGTGCGGTCAAATAAATAAAAAAAATTAAAATATATAAATTATTTTAATTTTGCCGACGTTTCGACCCACTTTGCAGGTCGTCTTCAGGGCTACAAAAGATACAAACATGTTGAAAAAATAAAAATAAAATAAAAAATAAACATAAGTATATATAAAATACGAAGAAGTTGTCTGATATAGAAATAAAATATAAAGAAAATAAATACATGATAAGAAAATAGATAAAAGAAAATAAATACATGAATGTTAACGAATAAATGAATGTTAACGAATAAATGAATGTTAACGAATAAATAGATTGAAAATTGAATAACTATTGTTACAGTAAAGTTAAAATATGGATAAGATAACATAATAATAAGATATCAGTGGATAATAAGCAAGTGGAGGTTACCTTTAATTGTAAATAAACAGATAATGGGACTAAAGGTTAAGAAGTGAAGAAATTGAAAGATTAATAGGGTAACATTAGTGTAATATTGTTGGGATAGATTATTAAGTATAAATAACTCTATAAGAAAACAATAATTTTAAAAGAATACTTTAAAATGTAAGAATAAATGTAAAAACAAGG